GTTGCAGCGAAAACAGCCAGCCCCTTCAAACCGGGGCTGATGCTGAAACCCCAGGTACGCCCTCTCTCTCTCTCTCTCTCTCTCTCTCTCTCTCTCTCTCTCTCTCTCTCTCTCTCTCTCTCTCTCTCTCTCTCTGTCACTCTCTCTCTCTCTCTGTCACTCTCTCTCTCTCTCTGTCACTCTCTCTCTCTCTCTCTCTGTCACTCTCACTCTCTCGCCTCCGTAACGCTCGCCCTTCCTCGCTCTGGCTGCCTTTTCGGCGAGTTTCAGCAGCCCGTCGCCACGGCTGGCTGGGCCTCGCTCGAACGCTTACGTACTGACTGATGCTTGGCGGCAGCTTGGCTTGGCTCTTGGCTGCAAATAACCATTACTGGATGACGAGGCGCTGCCGCTGTGTGCCGCTCGCTTGACCCCTGCGGCCCTGCGGCCCGGCGGGGGCACGGCGCGCGCCCCTGCCGCCCCCTGCCGCCCCCTACGTCTGCCTCGGCACCCCGCCCCGCACCGCCCCGCACCCCGTGCGGCCGCGGCGGCCTAGCCTGGCCATGCATACATGGATGAGGAGGCCGGGTAAACAGGCGAGACACTGCAAACTTGAAATATTTAATGGCGGGACGGACGGACGCACCCCCTGCAACCCCCCCCACCTCCCCCCTGGAAATTTTGAGGCGTTCGGACCCGCTGAGCTGGCCTGGCCTGGCGGGGGCGCCCCCGGGGTGGCGGGGCAGGGGGAGGTGGGGGGGGAGCGCATCCTAAGGGAAGGAAGGAAGGCGCGCCTCTATTATACATGGTCGATATTACATTGTTAATTATGCAGGCTATCGACCCCCGCGGCATGTGCGGCTCCTCGGTGCGCCTCTGGTGCCTCGGTGCCTCCCACCCACCGCGCAGCCACGGCCCGCCGCGTAGCTACGCGTAGCCTGGCCGCGTAATGGAGTTAAGTAGTGCGGCCCTCGCGGAAGCGCGGCGAGGCGCCTTCGGGTTGCCTTCGGGTTGCCTTCGGGTGGCCTTCGGGTTGCCGCCTTCGGTTTGCCTTCGGGTGGCCTTTGCGTTGCCTTCGGGTAGCCTTCGAGTTGCCTTCGGGTTGCCGCCTTCGGTTTGCCTTCGGGTGGCCTTTGCGTTGCCTTCGGGTAGCCTCCGGGTAGCCTTCGGGTTGCCTTCGGGTTGCCTTCGGGTTTCCTTCGGGTTGCCGCCTTCGGTTTGCCTTCGGGTGGCCTTTGCGTTGCCTTCGGGCTGCCTCCGGGTCGCCTTCGGGTTGCCTTCGGGTTGCCTTCGGGTTGCCTTCGGGTTGCCTTCGGGTGGCCTTTGCGTTGCCTTCGGGCTGCCTCCGGGTCGCCTTCGGGTTGCCTTCGGGTTGCCTTCGGGTTGCCTTCGGGTGGCCTTTGCGTTGCCTTCGGGCTGCCTCCGGGTTGCCTCCGGGTCGCCTTCGGGTCGCCTTAGGGTCGCCTTCGGGTCGCCAAAAGAAAAGGAATGAAGCTGGTGGACCAATTTTAAGGGCGGTTCTGTGACAAGAACAATGAGCCCTCTGTTCCGTGCGCGAGGGCCGCCGGGGCCGCCAGGGGATGAGGTTCGCGGGCCCATCGTGAATGGGGCGTCCTCGGCCCCGCTGTGGCGCTACACTGCAGACTGCTTCCGAGGGTGGCTTTCGTCGCTCTGCCTGTCCCGCACAGGACGCCCCATGAGAGCGAGAGAGACAGAGCGACGGCAACGACAATCAGTGTGCCTGCACTGTGTGGCTGCACTGCGCGGGCCGTGGCGCCGTGGCGTGGCGGCTCAGGCGGAGTTGGATGCGTCTGTCTTGTGCACCCGCAGCAGCGCAGCAACGCCCAGCAAGGTGTCGAACTCGGGCAGGCGGTGTCCTCCATGCTCCCTGTCTGTGTGTGTGTAAGTCTGTGACTGACAATCGTCCTCGTTAGCCAGGGGGATGGGGTGGCCGCCGGCCCCCTCCGCATCTCCGTGGGGGCGTCCGATCCGCCGGGGCGTCGACTGGGCCGAGACGAGGACGGGGCGACGGGGCGACGGGGCCCCCATGCTGCACCTCGGATGCACACCGCCAAACGGAATGCAGCATGGCCTTGATTGCCTCCTGCCCGAGTCCGCGTGCGTGTGTTTGGCTGGGAGCGTGAGTGAGAGAGAGAGAGAGAGAGAGAGAGGGAGAGAGAGAGAGAGAGAGAGAGAGAGAGAGAGAGAGAGAGAGAGAGAGAGAGAGAGAGAGAGAGAGAGAGAGAGAGAGAGAGAGAGAGAGAATGAACGGTGGGGTGTTCCTCGACGCACCCTGATTGAACAGGACGGGCTCGCTGCGGGCGCGCCCGCCACCGGGCTGCACTAGTAGTTGTTGTTATTGTTGTTGCTGCCGCTGTTCTTGTTGTTGTTGTCGCTGCACCGTGGAGCGTGTCATCCCAGCCTCGTAATGCATATCATAGACCGCGCGCCGTTTCCCCAAATTGCCCCGCCATCGAGGAAAATGGCGTGCTGGTTGGAAATTGTTTCGGGACTACTCAGCCAGGTTCACTCGGCGCCGCCGCCGTGCACGTATACCGCGCACTCACACTCGCCGGTACGCCGTGAGCGCGCGCGCGCGTGTGTTTGTGTGTTTGTGCGGGTGGCGGGAAGTTTTGCTCTCTGTTACGATTGGCGCGTGCAGGCGTGCTGTTGGAGCTGGAGCCGGCCGTGCCGCACTAGGTCGTCGTCGTGGTGGTGGCGGCGGCGCACCACCGCCGTGGTGGGCGTCGTGCGTCTCCAACGCTAGTACAGTGTGTCGTCGTCGTTTCCGGCGTTTGTCTCGCCCCGTTCCGCCACGGGTTTCAGCAGCCCGCGTGTTCGATCAGACGTGTTTTTGTTTCTGCATGCTTGTGTGTGTGCGTGTGTGTGTGTGCGTGCGTTCGTTCGTGCCGGCGATGTCGTTTTGAGAAGACGGCGCCGTGCGCTGCGACGACGCGGCCGCTCACAGTGGCGTCGCGGCGTGGCGCGGCGTGGCATTGGGAGGCATAACTATAAAGCACAATAATAAGCACTGGTTGCCACACGGACTGGCCTTGGCTTGCCTCGGCTTGCCTTGGCTAGGCCCGCGACGCCGCGACGCCCGCGCAGACGGACGGACGGGCAGACAGGCAGACGGACGGAACGGACGGACGGACGGACGGACGGACAGACAGACAGACAGACAGACGGGCAGACTGACAGACAGACAGACGGACGGAGCGACTCGGCGAGCGAGCGCGTCCTCCTCTCTAGCTCACTTTGGCCGAATAATAGTAATAAGATAATAATGCCGTGCAAATGACTGTGCTACACAGCGGGATTGCGGCATTGCGGCGCAGCGCGCGTCTTTCGAACCCGAAAAACATGTGCCGTGCCGCCGTGCCTGCGGCCTGCACGTGTGGGGCCGCGGGACGCGGAGGACGACTCGTTGGGGGCACGGCAACGCACGGCAACGCACGGCAAAAAGAGGGAAGAGAGGAGAGCCGCCTTGTCCTTGGTCAGGGTCGCGGCGTCGCGGCCGCGGGTTCGAGTCCCGGCCCCGCGATTCGTTTCGTAGGCGCCCTTGGCGTCATCGGCGTACTTATGGTCCTCGGCTTCCTATCGGCGTCCTTGACGTCCTTGGTGCCCTTGGCGTCCTCGGCCCTTGGCGTCCACGGCCCTTGGCGTCCTCGGCCCTTGGCGTCCTCGGCCCTTGGCGTCCTCGGCCCTTGGCGTCCTCGGCCCTTGGCGTCCACGGCCCGTGGCGTCCACGGCGTCCTCTACTTCCTCGACGTCGTCGGCGTCCTGGGCCTCGGGTAGAGAGAGGCGGGCAGCCTTGTCTGCTGCACTGCAGGGGCGTCGCGGAGGTTTTCCGGTTTTGCCTCTCTGCTTGGCGGTGCTCGCGGTGCTGCGCGGCGCCCCTCCAAGCCAAGCCAACCCTTGCCGCGCTGCCGGGGCTAATCCAGCCTGAGTGTGCAGTGACGCAGTGACAAGGGGCTAATGACTATTGGGGGAGCGAAAGAGAAAGAACATGAAGAAAGCCGAGGGTGGTTGCTGCGCCGCGCCGCCGCGCCGCACTGACAATGCATCGCGCCGCGGCTTTGAGGCGCGCTGACGGCGAGCCCGACCGAGCCCGACGGTCTGGCAGTGTCCTGACGACGTCCTGGCGGTGTTCTAACGGTGTGCTGATTGTGTCCTGACGGTGTTATGACGGCGACCTGACGGCGACCTGACGGTGTCCTGACGGCGTCCTGACGGCATCCTGGCTGCGTCACCTGACGGCGTCCTGACGACGTCCTGACGACGTCCTGGCGGCACCCTGGCAGCGTCCTGGCTTCCTGACGGTGTCTCTGGATGCAGGCGGGCCAGGCGGGCCGGCAGGGCCTGGCACGGCCGAGGCGAACGCAACGAGCAACAAGCGGCCCCTTGTTTGCCGCGCGCCTCGCGCCAAGCCTCGCGCCAAGCCTCGCGCCTCGCCGTGCATGTCTCCAAAGTAAAGAGTGACGACTGCGAGGCGGCGCGGCGCAGGGCGACGCGGTGCTGTTGGAAATAGACATAATTGAGCAATCAGCTGAGCGGAGTCATGTCGTCGAGGCGGTGCAGGCGGAGCGCGGAGCAGCGCGTCGCTTTTGTCTTTCTCCGGTGTCGCGGCCGACGCGCCGACGACGCCGCGGCCTGCCTCTAGGCTCGGCCGGGCCGCCCTTGGGGCCGCCTACGCCACTGCGGATTATGGCCGCTGCTCCAGTGGCGCGTCGCCGCGTCGCTACGCCACTGCCGCGCGGTACCACGCGGTACTACTGTGCGGCTGCCCTGAAACAAAGGGCTGCTGTGTGTTGCCGAGCTCAGCCCCGGCGCACACAGCCTAAGCCGGGGGGAGGGGGCGGCGGGGGCGGCCGTTCTCTTTCTCGTTCAGCAATTGCAAGTCCTTGCTGTGCTCCGCCCCGCCGGCCCCGCCCCGCTCGCCGCCAAATTTTCAAGATTATACGTCTCCCCCTCGGCCGCGCCACCGCCACCACGCCCCGCCCCGCCCATTTCTATAAGCTCAAAGTTACACGGCGTGGAGGCCGCGGCGGGGGGGGGGGGCGGTGGCGCGGGGCGGGGCGCGGTGGGGCGGGGCGGGATGGGGCGCGCACCGCTGCAGCAGGCAGAGGAGAGCGTCGTCGAGGAGCACTTGTTGCCCCCGGAATAAAATCGAGAGAGGGCACGGCGTCGGCAACGGTGTGGTGGTCGGCGCGGACGCCGCGGGGCGGAGCGGCGGAGCGCGTCGAGTTGAAGGAGTTGAAGCCTGTTTTCCAGGGTCGGCGTCTGGCGGCGCGGCGGCCGCGCTGTGGGCGGGAAGGGTTCTTTCGTTTGCCTGTCGGCTTGGACTGGATCCCCTCCACAGTGTATTTACTCTCGCCATCAATTGATAGTGGGGGCGGGGGCGGCATGGGGGCGGGCCTAGTTTGTCTTTCCCTGTGGGACTGCCGCCGGCGTCCAGGCTTTACTGCCCTTCCCCGTCCCGCGGGCCCCTGCCGGCGGCTGCGTGTGCAGCGACGACCTGGGCCGGCGATACGGGCTCGCGCCGTGTGCGGCGGACATGACGGCTGGCGCCCGGCGTGCGAGGGCGTGGCGGCGCGTGGCGGCGTGGCGTGGCGGGGCGTGGCGGGCGTGGCGGGGCGTGGCGGGCGTGGCGGGGCGTGGCGGGCGTGCGGGCGTGGCGTGGCGGGGCGTGGCGGGGCGGGCGGGGCGGGGCGTGGCGGGGCGGGCGGGGCGTGGCGGGGCGTGGCGGGGCGTGGCGGGGCGTGGCGGGCGTGGCGGGGCGTGGCGGGGCATGGTTGGCCGGCGTCGTCGTCCGCCACTCGTCCCGGACGCCGTCCGCTTGGCGGCGCGCGTTTTCCCCTCGGCGTAAGTCCGGTCGCTGGCGGTGGCCGTGCAGGCCGTGCAGGCCGTGCAGCAGGCCGTGCCGTTTGCAATGCTGATGTCGCTCCGCGCTCCGCTCGGCGCGCCGCGCGGCCCTTGATGCCCCGATCCGCGATAGTGCATTGCATTGCTCGGTTATTAATGTGGAGGCACTTCCTCACAATGCATCGCCGCATCGCGGCACGACGGCGCCGTGCATCGAGCAGTGTGGTGGCAGCATGACACTCGTCTTGTGAAACATGTGTTATTGTCAGGCGCCTGCTTGCTGCCCCGCCGCGCCCCGCCCCGCCGCAGACGGTGGCAGCGCGGGCAAGACAATTAGAATTTGGTATTTATTATTCATATCTTTTGTTCGTCATCGCATTGTATCCCCGTGATTGAGCCAGGCGAGCGCCAAGTCTTTTTTTGTGTCTTGTTGTTGTTGTTGTTTGGTTTCCATTCTAAAGCCCCGACCGTCCGTGTGTTGCAGGCCAAGCTGTTGGAGTCCTCGTCGCATGCCTGGCTGGGCGCGTCCACGTCGTCGTTAGCCGGTGAGTTTGAGTGGGCCTTCAGCTTCAGCCTCCAGCGGATGGAGCCTTTACCGGCAGGGCGTGTGCACGTGCGCCGCCTCGGCCCCGGAAAAGCGTTGACCCTTTCCTGGAAAAGTGTCCACTTTTTTCGTGAGGAATGTTCACTCTTTTCCGGAAAAGCGTCCACTCTTTACCCGGTCCGGTGCGGCTGCACGGAGAGTCTTTTCTTTGTCGGCGAGACAAGCAATGTCTCCGCCAGTTCAGTATTTGATTCCGGGTTCAAAGTTTGCGATGGTGGGACGACGCGGAGCCGCAGTCGGTGTCCGTGGCGGTCCTCGGTTCGCGCCCCGGCCCCGCTCGGCCTTCCCCGCGCCGCGGCACGCTTTCCCGCCATTTTGGCCGCTGTAAAAAAGGGCGCGAAACCGGCGGCCGCGGGGAGGGCGAAGGGCCCGGGGCGCGGCGCCGCGGCGACACCGACTCTGGCGCGCCCTTTTGTGAAGACGAGTTGACTGGAGGACGAGGGTCCGGCGTGGACCCAGCGCCGCCGCCATCCCTACGGGGGCCTCGCTGGCTCCACGCCGGACGACCGGCCGGCCGGACGCATTACGCCGATTGGCCGATTGGCGGGCCCTGATTGGATAGAGAATGTGTCACTAATAATTTTATGCGCCGCAGTGCGGCTCGGCACGGCCAGGCCGTGTGTCCACTGTTCCGCTCCCCGGTTGACAGGCATGCCCATTGGCAAGCTCGCATATCGGGCAGCTCGGGCGGGAAGGGAAATGGCTATCATAATTATCCTCATCTTTCCTTTCCCCCCCTTGCATTGATGTTTTTGTTTTGCCGGCGGAGCCCCAGTGGCGGTAGGGGAGCCGGGCCGTGCCAATCGTGTTCCACCGCTGTGTTTTTGCCCCCAGGACTTTGCTGGTCGTCTTCGTCTTTGGTCGCGACTGTGCCCGTTGAGAGGGAGCGTGCTTTTGGACAGTTTTGACTGACGGGAAGGCTATCGATGGCCTAAGCAAACGAAGGTACTTGACGTCTGCCCTCCGATCGGTCAGGACTGCCTGGCCCTGGCCCTGGCTGGCCTCGCCGCAATCCTGCCCCGTCGGTTCAATCCAGACTCACGTACACTGTACGCATGCAGGTGGCGCACTTTGAACGCTTTCACGTCCTCGGCTGCACACTGGCCAAAAACTAACCTGTTTTGGTCGAACCGCTACCCCTTTCGCACGTGAAACAAGGTTTTCGGATGAAGTTTCTTACCGACATCAATTCGGAATATGACCCGAAACGGGTACGAGTCCACCTTAAAACTTTGTTTCACTACGAAGACGGCTAGAGGTTTGCCCAAATCAAGTTATTTTTCTGTTGGTGCACACTGTTGGGAAATTCTCCATTCTTTCTTATTTTTTTCTGTCAACGTCTCTCATTTTTGGTTTGCTCTTTGATATATGTTTCAAGTTATGAATAATTTTCACGAAGTTTCTACTTACAGTAGTTATAGAAATGTTGTACTCATTCGAAAAATAAGTGTGAATGTCAGATTTGTCCGACGGTGTTGCGCTGCCCTCGCGCGGTCTTGCCGACTTGTCGCGAGGCGGGGACATTGGATGATTGAAGTGCTGGCACCTGGTGCTCGAACCTCACGCTCTGTGACGTTCCCTCTGACTGAATCCAGCCTTCTTGAATTGCATCTCTGTCGCGCACGCTTGCACTCGCACTCCGCCGCCGCGCGCACGCCCGAGCACGCTCGCACGCTCGCGTTCGGCGACGTTCTAGTTAGTTGTTGGCGTGCGTCCTGCAAAAGCACGCGCCCCTCTGCACAGTGGGCCAGAAGGCCGGTGGAGGCGGACAAAACTCTAGACGCGTTTTGAGCTCCAGAGTCGCTGGACAGTTCTCGAACCAAGCGTGTGACCCCATGAATGGATTCCTCGTGTGCAGAGCAATCCATAGGTGGGGTCACTCGTTCGGTTCGAGTCCTGTTCAGCGATTCTGGAGCTCAAAACGCGTCCAGAATTTTGGCCGCCTCCACCGGTCTTCTGGCCCACTGTGCTCTGTTCCGCGCGCCACTGGTCGGTCCAAAGAGGAAATTGGCCGGGCATCAGTGGCAGTGTCTGCGTGCTTCGTACAGCCCGTACCAAGAGCACTCGCTTGTATTGCTTGTACCTGTTTGGCTTGCAGGAGCGATGCACCGCCGCCGTAGTCCGCAGTCTGTCACTAACCCCGCCTCTCACTTCCAGTGTGCCAGCCCCCGGCCCTCGCCTTGAGTTTCTCTGTGTGGCCTTCGCAAACCACTTATTAGTTTTTATTTAACGCCTCTTCTTTTCTTTTGCATCCCCCGCAGCTTTGAACGCCCCCTGTGAAAACTTTGCCCGCAGTGTTTCCGAGTCCACAGCGCCGCGTCTCTTTGCATGCCGGACGCCGCATCGGTCGCTCGTGCATCATAGCGATCCCAACTCCAATTAATCAACCGATCACGCGGGAAAATGAAGCGAAAGCCGCACTTTTTTCTAACTGATTACATTGGCTCTGTTTTTCTGTCGGTGACGCTGTGGTCGTGGTGTCTGAGGTGCGGGCCGTTCCTTTGCAGAGTCCGAGCCGTCGGCGTCGTTGGCGGTGCCCGCCGTGTCCTCGGTGCCCGTGGTGCCCGTCGCGGCCCTGGCGGCCGTCGGCCAGGGGTCGCCGTCGTCGGGCAGGGGTCGCGGCCGCGTCCACGGCCCCCTCGGCGGGCCCAACATGGCGTGGAAGGCGCTGCAGGTCTCCAAGAGCATGAACTCCAAGTGGACGCAGCAGGACTTGCTGTTCGCCATCGAGCTGGTGCGCCAGGGCATGCCCATCAAGCCCGCCGCCGAGAAGTGCAACATCCCGGTCATGACGCTGTGGCGGCGCACGCGCGCCCTGGGCGTGTTCAGCAGCAGGGCGGCCTCCGGGTACCGCCCGGAGCAGCTGGAGCACCGCGAGCACCGCGACCCGGAGCCGGCCGAGCCGCAGGCCCTGCCGCTGCCGGTGGCCCCGCCTTTGGCCCTGCCGCTGCCGGCGCCGCTGCCGGTGGCGGAAGACGCACCCCCCGCGCCACCAGCGCCGCCAGCGTCGGACAGGCAGACGGAGGAGCGCTAGACCTCGGCGTCGTGGCCGCGTCGGAGTCCGCGCGGGAAAATAAGTGTCGCTTGTCGGCGTCCCTTCCTTTCCGGTGTCCTTTCTGGTCTCGTTTTTCTCGTTTCGTTTGCGTCCGAGTCGGCATCGTTGTGTCTGTTGTGGTCCCCGCTGCACTGGGGGCACTCTCTTTGTACTTTGTTCGCCAAGACTGCCGCTTCGTCCTGTTTCCCCCCGCGATTGTCGTTTCGTATGTGCTCTAACAATCCGTTGTTTGCAGACCGCTGTGCCATACTGTATTTGGCTGCTTTTCCTGCTTTCTGTGCCCTGGATGCTGGATGCGTGCGCCGGGCGTGGCCCTAGAGGGCGTGGCCGCGGGGGGACACGTCGACTAGACTGTCCCACGAAAAATTCGATGTTTGAAAATGCAACCTCTCACCCCGGACTTAAGTTCCTTATGTAAAAAAAGGACTCCATGATTTTTTTCAGAATTTTTGAACAGAATTTAGAGGTCGCGCATCGGCAAAAACACGTTTTTTGCCATTTTTCTCGATTTTTTAAGTATGCCCTACCACCATACCACACCCAGCCCCACCCCCTCTCCTTAGTTGGACTTCTAGTGACCCCGTGACGTCGTTCTGTAGGACACCCGACCCTCCTGAGCCCATCTAGACCCTCAAATGAGCACCCAAAACGATAAAAATAAGTCGAAAATTTCATAAAAAGCTGCAAAAGTTGTGCAAATGTTGTGTTTTTTGATAATCTGACATCACAGAACGATAGAGCGTGAAAAATTACGTAGGGGTGAAGACAAGTGAGCACGCCACACGGTCAGTTTCGGTTACATAAGCGCGAGCGAAATAGAACGCCCCCACGAATTTATACATTTCCTGCTCAAAACTTGAAGTGTGGGCTTTTATTCCTTTTGTGGGATGTCAAGAATCATCTGATGATTGTTTTATATGAAATTTGTCGAAATAAAAGCTCTGCATGTAATAAAAGTACAAATATATGGTGCGGGTCGCTGGTGGCGCCTCCTGTCATTAGTCACGGAAACTAAGGGAGTATGGGGCGATTTGTAACAGGGGCGATTCGTAACAAATGCGTTTATTAATTTAAGTGGAGGGAGCAGAGGAAAATCTGAGTATGGCCCCTCTTTCGCTTCAAGTAGAGGGTCCTTGAACAATCGAAGCGGATGTGATCGGTGCTCAGGTATGGTTTTGGAGGGCGTCTGAAATATAGGGTACACCGAAAACAGGCAAATCTTTTATTTTGAGTTCAAAGAAGTTTCTGTCTGAGGCTCCCCAGGTATGAATCACCATCGAAGTACCGTTGGGGCCTCGAAGCTTGACCCCTTTGCAATGTAACCACGTGGCATAAGTTGCTTTTACTTTGTCCAGTGATAGTTAGGGACGTATTTCTCGCGTAGCCGGCATTTGGGGTGATTCGTAACAGACCCGTATAAAAACAAGAATTGAAGTAGTTTTTGCAATAAAATGCTTGAATTTTTTCTCGAATCATCTGCTGCCTAATTCCAATACATTTACACAGCTCAAAATGCATTTCAAAGCGAGTTATTCTATTCTTTCCTCCAAAATTGAAAAAAATGAGGTTAGGGTTGACATAGCCGGTCAGTTAATGCTGAGGCGGTCAACGGCAGCTTGTAATGCAGATTTTACGGCGTCTGCAGGACATCCGAAGAACAACTGCTGGAGGAGATAACATTCCCGACGATGTTTCATTTAATGTTTAGGATGTTATGAAAAGCCCCAAGGCTGTTACAAATCACCCCATGCTGGGGCGATTCGTAACAGCATGCAAGGGTTTGGAAAGCGTCTTAGATTTCAAAGATTACGGACTCCAGATTGATCCCATGGAGCTGCACAGTCTAGATGAAGGGCCAGACTGCTCAACTGGCACAAGTTTGACACCGATATGCAGAATGTTCTTAATTTTGTATAGAGGATTCCAAAATCTGTTACAAATCGCCCCATACTCCCTTACATCGCCGCCTTTTCGCGCGCTTTGCCGCGCACACGAAACGAACCGCCCAGCGAGCGTTGTTTTGAATCGTCGTTTGTGTTTTGGGATTTATTGTGTGGAATGATGGCGTCCCGACAGAAGAAGAGGGTGCAGGCTCACCTACCTTTGAGCTAAGGAGACAGTCATTCATAGACCAGCTAGACTCTCTGTTTGACGTAGCTCATCATGAAGCTACAAGCCAGCACCGACAAGCCAGAGCAACCTCTTCTTCCGTCGGGACGCCATCATTCCACACAATAAATCGGAGGCGTTCTATTTCGCTCGCGCTTATGTAACCGAAACTGACCGTGTGGCGTGCTCACTTGTCTTCACCCCTACGTAATTTTTCACGCTCTATCGTTCTGTGATGTCAGATTATCAAAAAACACAACATTTGCACAACTTTTGCAGCTTTTTATGAAATTTTCGACTTATTTTTATCGTTTTGGGTGCTCATTTGAGGGTCTAGATGGGCTCAGGAGGGTCGGGTGTCCTACAGAACGACGTCACGGGGTCACTAGAAGTCCAACTAAGGAGAGGGGGTGGGGCTGGGTGTGGTATGGTGGTAGGGCATACTTAAAAAATCGAGAAAAATGGCAAAAAACGTGTTTTTGCCGATGCGCGACCTCTAAATTCTGTTCAAAAATTCTGAAAAAAATCATGGAGTCCTTTTTTTACATAAGGAACTTAAGTCCGGGGTGAGAGGTTGCATTTTCAAACATCGAATTTTTCGTGGGACAGTCTAACGTCGACACGTGTCGCTCGTGTCTGCTCCGATCGGTGCGACTGTCGGTGCTGGCGCACAGTGGGCCAGAAGACCAGTGGAGGCGGACAAAACTCCAGACGCGTTGTGAGCTCCAGAGTCGCTAAGCAGGCCTCGAACCGTATGCGTGACCCCACCGATGGATTCCTCGTTCGGAGAGCAATCCATTGATGGGGTCACACGTTCGGTTCGAGTCCCATTTAGCGACTCTGGAGCTCAAAACGCGTCTGGAGTTTTGGCCGCCTCCACCGGTCTTCTGGCCCACTGTGTGGCGGTGCTGGCACGCCGTGGCGGTCGGAGCGGCCGCGTGCGTCCGTGTGCCGCGTCCGTGTGTGTCTGTGTGTGTGCGACTGTGGGCCCCGCAGCCCCGCCCGGTGTGCACATCGCTTGTTTGCTTTTTGAGTTGACACTTTTGTGTGCTGTTTGTAGTGTTGCCAGAACCGGTAGCTAGAGCCTTTTGTTTGTTGTGTTTATTAGAGGCCCACAATCTGGTGAAGCTGAAAGCGCCCGTGTGGACGCAGGCGCAGCTCAAGGAGGCGATCCAGGCGGTGGTCACGCAGAAGATGCGCTTCACGCAGGCCTCGACCAAGTACGGCATCCCGAAGGGGACGCTGTACGATAACATTCTGGGCAAGTCCAAGCGCATGATGGTGCTGGACGAGGCCGGCCTCACGTCGGACGAGGAGAACGCCGTGCTAGAGTTCTGTTGCGAGATCTCCATCTCGCCGTTCAACCGGCGCACCAAAAAGAGCCTCCACGCGATCCTCAATTTCGTGGAGAAGCTCCGGCGGGCGCGCGACCCGGACTTTGAGTTCCAGGGGCTCTCGGGGTTCCGCTGGTGGTGGGCCTTTTGCAAAAAGCACAGCATAGTGTCGCTGTACTTTGACTGCAGTGACTGAGAGACGCTCGCATTCCCGTTACAACAAGCATTCCACTCTCTCCAGTCCAGAGTTACCTGACCCCGCCCCAATGCATTGCCACTGCCGCGAAGAGTATTACTTGCTGTGGCGCCTAGACATACCTTTGGCTGTGTTGAAACCCCCCTTGCCTCTCTTGATGTCCTCTCAGGAATTTTGTTTTACCACTAGCATGTGCCTTTGTGTAGTTGTAGTAGTAGTGAGTGTGCGCGTGTTCGTGTGATATGATTTGGCATGTATGGCTATTTTTCACTGGATGTCATTAGAGAAATAGTTGTTGTTGACGATTTCTGACTGATTATAACAAATTTTGTGTAACTGTTTTTATTCATAAGGTTTTGTTAAAAGACTACTTATTTTCAGAAATGTGTTTTTCATTTTTAGGAAAAATTCTATTGTAAATGGACTTAAAATATATGTACTAAGACGTGCGCTCGCATCGCAAGGCTAGGCCTTTGACTTTTACAGGCTTGTTTTCAAAGCCATTCATTTGTGTGCCATTTTGTGTTATGTTTCATGAATTTTTACATTTTTTAAATCAGTCTGGTGTCTATCATGTACCTTATTTAGTCTTCTGGCCCAAGCCTTGCGTCGCCGACGCTTATGTTGTTCTTTAGATAAAAATTTTAAAAGTGAATGCATTTATGTTTGTTAAAAATGGATGTGTTAATACTCTTGGAATTTATTTATTGTTCTTGGGAATTATGGAATCGGCCGTTGCATATCGAGTTTATTCGCAAGCTATATTTTAATGTGTCGTTTTACAAGTCGTATAACGTGTTAAGTGAAATTCGGTCTAATACATATTGTGCCGGCCTCAATAATTGTTTGCTCACTTAGTTAACATATTGCATAATTTTATTGAATTATTGTTGTTTTGTCTTTAAAAGAGTACAACTACCAAGTCTATGTAACATAGTGTAGGTGGGCCTTCGAGGTGACCTCACAGGGTGCGCCCTAGTTGTAAGTGTGTGAGTGCCTGTGTTTGTTGGAGATCGTGCCATTTGGGACAAAGTGCCAGGTTTTGTGCCATACATTGGGCGATGGGTCCGCGTGGGCAAGTTGGAGGTGCGGCGACAACACTTTTAGTGTTGAGTCTGGGTTTTCGATACAGAATGCGGGTCATTTTGTTCCTGGACTCAGACTTTGTCACCTGCCTTTAGCTTTGTACATATTCATATTCCATCTTTTATTTTCAACTTGGAAACAGGATGCATTTTGTAACTGTCACTTTCTTGTGGAATATTTTTAAAAGAAAAATTAGGAGTATTTGCAGTGCTGATACTTCTTGGAGCGGCTCTCTACGCGCTAACACTTGCTCCACCGGAGCCCATCGCCGTCCTTGTTCCTCGATCTCTGAGTAATCCTGCGGGTACAAAACGTAGAGTCAAACCGTGTCACAGGTGGAGTGAAAGTGCGAGAATGTGAGTGAGTGTGTGTATGTGTGTGTGTCTGTAAACCTGAGGTGCGTGGCGCCTGTCGCTAGCAAGACTGATGTCGGTTGATTTTTATTTTTACTAGAAAAGTTAAAAGTCTCTCTGGCGGGCTGGCGCCTACATTCCGTGGCTTGATTGTGATGACAAAGACTTATCACGCCCACCGAGGCACTGCCATATTTTCCAAGACGCACTATTGTGCGTTAGCATACGGTCGCAATCGAGTCCAAAACCATGTCGTTTTTAATATAATTTTTGTAACTTTGGTAGTTTCCATGCATGACTTTTCTGCAAGAGGGAACTGGATGAAAGCTGTGAGTCAGTACTGTGAGGCAATTTGTACTTCTTTCTTGTTTTAGAAATATTTTTTGTTATTGTTTAAATGGAGGATTAGAAGGCTGATCAGTCACTAGTCGGATCCGCATTTTCTTAACATGCCATATGTTGCCATATTTGGACATGTTTTGTCCTCAGTCCTAGACGCCTGATAGAACAAGTAAGGATAAGATACGGACTGTTAGTTTTCTTAGCTGCTCTGTCCTGTTTGCTTTTCGTCTCTCACAAATCAAAAGACGTCAAAATACTGTGAGATAAATCTTCAGTTTTCCTTTCTGTGTTCTTTTTATTGCCGGTAACATATCACATGGGTCAATCATAAGTTTCTTTTTTATTACCTTTAATGTGCCATGCAACAACGAAAAATTTGTTTCGATGCTAAACTTTATAGTGTTTATTACACAGTAATTAATGTGTATGCCATGATCACAAGACAGTCTTTTTATTTAATTTTTACCTTTTTGAAATATTTATTTGTATTGAGTCAAATTGTGTGTGGAAGTCAGGAAAGAAAAATGACTCTGTTGTGCAATGTTTCACAATCATTAAGATTATTAAATTATAATCGGTGAGCATAAAATGAACTGGCGATGTGACAGCCGACGGTTGGCGTGTGAATACCTCGAAACTGTTGATTAACACGCTAACATTTGATATTACCATGACACGTATTGCATACATTGTGCTGTTCTTTATGTATTAAATGACATTGGAGAGTCATGGTTGTGATTAGTTCTTATGCTGTCCCCTTCTCCTTTGTACATCCTGAAAAACGGCTTCGCCTTGCATATTCAAGTAGCATTGTGACGAAATTGTATCCGTACACGAATAAAAGAAACTTCGTTATGTGGAAATCACATGTTGTGTGATCAGTTGCACCAATTGATAAAGGATTTTGGTGTCCTTCTCCACCGTTTATCTGACTGGTGTGTTTGTAACTAGTACATGGTATGTATAAGTCAGAATGTCAGAGCCGTGTGTCGAAACCTTCGCAATTAGAATTACGTTTTATGATTTATTCGTGCGTGGAGAATTTGCAAACTGCACTTTTAAGTACACTGTGCGTTCGTGTGTTCAGCTTTAACTATCGAACTGGCAAAATTTCCCCTTCCAAAAATCAAAATGTCAGCTGCTAAGGTTGACTTTTTCTCCCTTAAACAAGCCAGTGACTTAACCCTGCAGTGAAAAGAAAAACGACTGATTTACAAACTTTTGCCGCCAGGGCCACTGTACTAATAGCAACATTGTTGGGGCTTTCTTTTCCAGCAGATAGCTACCAGTACCAGCTGCAGCACATGTGGCAGAAGTGCTGGAACACGAACCAGACGATGGCGCACAACCTCCGCTTCCGCGAGCGCGGCCCGCTCAAGTCGTGGCGCCCCGAGACCATGGCCGAGGCCATCTTCAGCGTGCTCCGGGAGGGGCTGTCGCTGTCCCAGGCGGCGCGCAAGTACGACATCCCCTACCCGACGTTCGTGCTGTACGCCAACCGCGTGCACAACATGCTGGGGCCCTCGGTGGACGGCGGCGCAGGTACGTTGATCGCGTGGGTGTGGCGGGGCACACAGTGGGCCAGAAGCCCGGCGCAAATAGCTCGACGCGTTTTGAGCTCCGGAGTCTCTAAACAGGATGCGAACACTCGAACCGAACGTGTGACTGTGACCCCGACCCCACCAATGAATTCCTCCTTCGGAGAGCAATCCGTTGGTGAGGTCACACGTTCGGTCCGAGTCCCATTTAGAGACTCCGGAGCTCAAACTACGTCCGGGATTTTGACCACCTCCACTGCTCTCACGGCCTGTGGAGGTTGTCGTCATACCCCCCAAGTAGAGGGTAGCTGCTGCGGGCGGGACACTGCCTCCATTTGAGGTTTGCAGTCGGAGTCCTTCGCTTGCTGTAGCTGCTTACTCGAACGCTAGAGGTCTGCTGAGGCCTAACAGCGCTGATGATGATGATGATGACCGGTCTTCTCGCCCACTGTGGGGCGGCAGGGCGGCGGCGAGGCCGGCGGTCGGGCCGGGCCGGGCGCCTGCAGCGCGCGCATCGGCCACACGCAGCGCAGGCGTGCGTCCGCGCCTGCAGCCCATTGCCATTACCATTACGGGCTAGACCACACATGATCGTATGCCATTTCGGGCCCGACACATCCGCAGCCATTGCTGCTCCTCAGCAGGCTCATTCCGAGCGGCGCTTCCGGCGCTCTGTCTCTCTCGCACTCGTGGGGCGCCACTTTGAGGAGCGAGAGTGACTGAGCGACGGGCACTGTCTGGAATGAGCCTACTGACCCGACTTGTTTGTTGCAGCCGACCTGAGACCCAAGGGCCGCGGCCGGCCGCAACGCATCCTCCTCGGCATCTGGCCCGAGGACCACATCCACGGCGTCATCAGGGCCGTGGTCTTCAGGGACCCCCAGCACCTCAAGCCGGCTCAGGACGACGCGCACTACTCCCGGCTGGCGGTCGGCAAGGTGGGCGCGCAGCGTGCACAGCGTGTGCAGCGACAACCACTCGGTGTCCTGCCTTTGTCTTGTCTCTGCGAATCAAGGACTAATGACCGACTTGGCGTTGCAGGGACAGGTGCAGAGCTACAACATGAACGCCAGCATGAACTCGAGTATGAACTCGGGCATGAACGGACCGGACCACGGGCACAACGTGACCCCCAACGCCGCCACCATGGCCGCCATGGCGCAGGGGCTGCGGCAGCAGATGTGCAACATGGTGGTGGCGGCGGCGCAGCAGCAGCAGCAACAAGCGCAGCAACAGCAGCAGCAGCAACAACAGGCGCAGCAACAACAGCAGCAGCACGCCCACGCCCTCCAGCAGCAGCAACAGCACCACCTGCAGCAGCAGCAACTGCCGCTGCAGCACCTGAGCAGCCTGGAGGCGATGGGCGCGCTCAGCCTGGTGACGCACTGCGGGCCCTTGCAGCGCCCCAACGGGCCGACGGGCTCCTCCTCCTCGGCGCAGTCCGGCCAGGCGCCGGCCGGCTCCACGCTCAACTGCGCCATGGGGCTGTCCAGCCCGCTGGGGCTGCGCCGCTCGCACAGCCCCGCCGTGGCCCCCGGCCTGCCGCCCGGCATCAGCGTCACGGGGCTGGGCCTCGGCCAGGGCATGGGCCAGGGCCTGGGCCAGGACATGCTGCGCTCGCTCAGCCCGCTGGAGCAGGTCCTGGGCGGCCGCAACGCCCTGTCCGTCCTGGGGCTGCCCGGCATGGCGGCCAACGCGTCGCACGCGTCGCGCGCCTCCACCATCACCTCGCCGCCCGGGCACCAGGGCCAGCAGCACCAGCAGCACCAGCAGCAGGGCCTCCAGGACATGCGCGCGCCCAGCCCCATGCCCAGCCCCATGGCCAGCCCCAGGGACAGGCGGCCGGACGTGGGCGACGCGCATGCCGGCCTCGGCCACGGCGGCGGCCTCGGAGGCCTCGGCGGCCTGGGTGGCGACGACGTGGAGCGTGGCTGTGATCGAGAGCGAGGCCGCGACCGCGGCCGGGACAGGGAGCGCGACAGGAGAAAGCTGGACGAGCAGCGCGACCGCCTGCTCAAGCACGCCAGGGAAGACGAGGTGGACGACGCGGACCAGGAGGAGGACGACCTGCGCATCGCCAGGGACTTCCTCAACTCGGCCAACAACAACGACCTCATGGCCAACAACAACAATAACAACAATCGCAGCAGCGCCATGGACATGGACCTGATCAAGGCCGGCACGCACGCCCACGAGTCGCTGTTCCAGGACGACATGGACGACCTGGCCGCCAGCCCCGGCGGCCTCGGCCAGCACCAGCAGCACGCCCAGCAAGGCCTCGGCGTGGACCTGCTCAACGACGCGGCAGACGGCGTGGTGGTCAAGTGCGAGCCGCTGGGCCTCATGGCAAGCCGACCACATTCCCACACGTAGCTGTAGCCCTTAGCCCCTAGCCCCTAGCTGTAGGCTCTAGCCCTAGGCTCTAGCCCTAGCCGTAAACTCGGATCGTATGTGATAGGTTTTCTTATTTCCTCATCAAAGTTGGGTGAGAAAAAAAGGCGGAAAGCAGGGAGCTTTCGGGTAACTGACATTCTTTGTGGGTCCAGCCAGAGAGTTTTGTTGTGAGGCGTTACTTAATTGCAGTGGATTTGATCCAGTGGTGCATCCTCTCTGGAGTATCTGAATCTCATTAGTTAGCAACACACCTATATGAGCTTAAGGGTTTCCAGATCAGCTTTGTGCTGTGCCATACGTTCCTCTATATCGTGTTCATGTGATTCTGTGCCCTTAGCAGGCTGGCTCATTTATGCTTTTAAAGGGACCCTTTCTCTTTCCTTAAGCCAAGTCCTAAACAGCGTACTATCAGATGGTTCGCTTGTTTCAACTTAAAATAAATCGTATTCCATGTTTTGGATGTGATGAAATGTTTCTTACTCTAACATCCATGTACCGTCATTTGATTTTCCAGTTTGCCATTTCTTGCCTTTTGTTATTTGTTAATTATTTGATATTTTGACATGATTCATTTATTATTGTTGATTGTTTCATCCACTTTGTTTATAAGTCGTTAGTGTAAGAAATCTAATTAAATTGTTTGCAAGTCTTATGAAAAGAATCACGTCTATCAGATTTTTATGTCGTGCTGTTAGCTGTTTGTTTGTTCTAAGTTGTTCTATCAATAGCCCAGTCAGCAACAGTACAATGGAAGACTATTTGCCTCCCAATTTTCACCTCTCTTATCACCAATCACTCCATTACATTTTTATAAGTCCTTATTCCATTTTGTCTCATCTAGGCCCATGAAATAGTCACCATGATTTAATTTATTGATCCTGTGATCGAAGAATTCAATTCAAAGGAAGATACATTTTTCACTTCATTGTAAAGTATGTATTACAGCACAGCCGCCAAGAGTTATTAACATTATACAGTAGTTGATTACACTTGTAGCTCAGCCATCAGTAAATATGCTTTGAAATACTCAACCATAAACGGTCTAATACTCCAGTCAATAGAAATCTTTTCTAGACATGTGCCAAGTTGAAGTAGGATATACACAAGCTTAACAGTTTTCATTGCTATTCTATTTCATAGAAAGACAGACGCATTTTGCCTTTCAACAGGAGCTTTCAACTTGTCTTAAAACATGTGTTTACGTGTGGTTCTCAAGTTTTGGCCATATTTTATTTTCTAGAGATTTTGGCTTTATCTAATTTAGCCTTTGTTTGCAAATAAATTTGTTGTCTGTCGTTTGAAAACAAAAAAAAAAGGAAACTGACATAAATCGGCCTCTCCCCCAGTTTTCTTCAAATTACGTTTAAGTTTTAAAACAACCCAAAGTTTACATTACTTAAGGTGGAATCAAATTTTATTGTGAGTCTATCATTCAGATTTATATTTGTCTGAATGTGTGGCTGCATGTCATTGTGCCTTTCAAGTGCTGTCTCGCAGTGCTCTTGATTAAGGATTTATAATTAATTATTGCTTATTGCATTTATGTTCAGTGTGTAGTATATCCAATGTACCAAAATTCTGCCTTAGAAAAGCTATTGTCTTTACAGGTGTGACTTTTTTTTTGTAACTGAGAGGCAGATTATATTTTAAATAAATTTTGTTTCCACTGAAATATTGGTATAGCTAAGATGCTTACTAAAATGAAACTGATTTGGAAATACTGCACACTGACCTCTCTATCTAAGAGGCTGTGAAATTTTATACTTTATTTCCCATACCAAAACTAATGTTTAGAGATAAAATCCTGTTCGTCCCTTGCCAATGTCTAGACTTGTGTCTCTAAGAAAAAGACAAAATTACATTCATCTATATTTTAACTGTAAATATTGATATAGCATATGTTTATTAGTTGAATTGTAACATTGTTTTACCTTCTTTTGTTTATTTGAAAAGAACTGATACAAGGATGTTAAGCCAAAGGCAAATCATTTTATTATTGATGTATATATTTTAAATTATCATTGTGGTTCCACACTCTTAAAAGCCTTTTGTTCACCCTTAGCAGCTCATTTTGTTTTCATTTGTGCCAGCTGAAATGTGTTTCTTTGATGTTATCTGCAACACCCCTCTCAGTGAAATAATCTCTTTCAGTGAATGCAAGATATCAGAATCTTTTGTACAGGAGCTGATTTTCAGGCAATTCAATGTATAATTTGCGACCATTACCTGTTTGCAGTATTGCTCGCTGTCTCATTATGAGGCACAGAGTGTTTCTCAGATGTTGAACAATGAGGTCATGTGTGACTATAGCTACGATTCATAATTTAATTAGAAGGGTAGAAGTATTTCTAGACACACGTTTCTTGTAAGGCAGTTAGGGTCTAGTCAAAGTGTATGAAATTTTGTATTTAAAAGATATATGCATGTATCAATTATATATATATATATAAATATATTTACTTATTTTTGTGATTTATCTACCCCTCCCCCAAATTATGTAACATAGGAAATCAGTTTGTCTGATAGCCCTGAGAGTAATCCAAAATTCACATTTTATTCTTTGATGTTTGATTTTGTCACTTCCTAATTTGGGGTCTTTGTTTTCCAAACAAATTTGGTATTGGGTGTTGATGTAGAAGGTACTGTCATTGTCCATTATTGCTGTTTTGGAAATTTTCTATCAGTGTTAGCTGCCATCAATCAAGGTTTCTCCGTCACTCTGCAGTTTTATTGGCCACACCCACATTTTTATGTCTCAGTTCCTGTATCTATATAAACAATCAATGCTTTCAACTTTTTATCATGTCACAGCCTTGGGATTGTACTCAATTAGTTTACCTCCAGAGCAATAGTAATAAAAGCTCTCGATTATTTGTAACAATAGTTTACCTCCTCAATTTATGTTCCACTTCTAGATCCAGTAACCATTCTGTTACACCGTGAGAAGAGCTGCTAGAATGTTATCTTTTCAATCAGCTTCTAATGATTGATTTATTTCTCTCATTGGACCCGAATAACTCAGTTTGCATACAGTAACAAAGATAAATTATTGTTGTAGTTGAAAGTCCACTATATGTTCCTTCTTATTTATTAAAGCAAACATACAGAATATACCCCTCTATGTACTGGAATACTACCTACTGAAGAATAATAAAGTTTGATGGCTGGCATTCACGACTTCTTTTTCCGATGGGTTCTACAGGAATACTGGGTCAAAGTCTCAGGTCCTACAGACCCTCACCCCTCACAGACACTGTTAATTGCTGTGGTAAGCTCTGATCCTCAACTAAACACGAACCGGGTGGAGTCCGGAGACCGTTGCGAGGCCCCTTGCAGTGCACGATCCCTCCGTTGAGAACAACCGGCATCTCGAGCCGCAGTGTGCCAGCAGCACCAAAGCGGGCGGGGGCGTGTGTGAGACGGTAAGCGCATTGGGTAACGTCAAGGACGTCTAAACAGTGGCAGCCGAGAGACCGAGAGCACGCCCTATGAACGCTGAAGGCTTATCGCGGTGAGCGGGAGAGGCTCCACCGAACCTGGTCCTCGCTCATTCTATTCTGATACGGTAGCAGCAGCGCAGCCTCCAACTATCTCTTCGGCCTCGCCACGGGCCACGCCAGGCACGGCAGGCACGGCACGAGGAAGCGCGTCTCGGCCCGCAGCAGCCCCCGCGAAACGCGTTCAACGCGATGGACGCCGAGGCCGTGGCCGTGGAGGCCGGCTTGAACACCGTCACGTCGCGCCTGGGGCCGTTCCACTTCATCTTCTGCACCCTGTTGAGCGCGGCCTACATGTACCAGGCGCTGTTCAACCTGACCTTCGTCTTCACCACCATGCGGGCTGAGCACAGGTAGTGTTCAACTTTGTGTGTACTCGCTGACCATCACAGGGAGGACCGGCCGCCCACTGCGTCTCGGGGACTGACTTGGGTGGGACCACCTACGCCGACTAGCTAAAAGGTAATATCTGGGTCCGTCTGGCCGTACCCGACCCAGGTGCTTCATTCCGGAGTGCGAGGACCCAGGCGCGTCGGCGGATATGAGGCCTTCCTGGCTTTCGATGGCGGTGCCCCTCGCCACACCGGCTGCAGGCCTTGCCGCAGGCACTTCGGGGAGTGGCCCGGACCCCTGCCATCGCTACGCGCCCCTGCCGGCCGCGCCCGGCGCACGGGGCTGCGCGCCAGGCTCCTTCTCCAACTCGACCATCGTGCCGTGCGAGCGCAGGGTGTTCCCCAACAAGGACCTGTCCATCATGACGGAGGTGAGCTTGCCCAGGCTTGGCCATTCCATTGCTGCGCTACGGCACGCCGTGCACGCGGCCCTTACTAACGGCGGTTCGTCCAGTGGGACATGGCGTGCTCGGCGAACAGCGACTGGCAGCTCGCGATGGTGGGCACGGTCAACAGCTTCGGCCGCGCCCTGGGGCTGCCCCTCTTCGGCCTGGCCTCGGACGCCCTGGGCCGCCGGACGGCGCTGCTGGCGGGGCTGGCCGTGTCCTGCGCCGTGGGGATGGCGCGCTCCTTCGCGCCCGACTACGCCGCCTTCGTCGGCCTCGAGTTCCTGGACCCCGTCTTCTACGACGGCATCGGCGGCGCCGCCTTCATCATGGGTTGGTCGGAGCAGCCGAGCGGTTTGGAGGACCGGTTTGTCGCTCTGTCTCCCTCGCACCCCTATGGAGAGCCTCACGAGTGCGGCAGAAACAGGGCGACGAAACGACTCTTCTGAATCGCTCGGCAGAGCGGGACTCACAATCGTGTTTCCTCCTTGGGCGAGCCGTACAGTACATCCGGTAACATCAGTCTATGTTTAGACGAGGCACTCGTAGATGGCTAGGAGGCTCAGAGAGCAGAGGCACGGGCTGCCCCAAACAGGCGCGTTTCAAGGAGCCTCCGTCAGGGGGTGCGATTGTGTATGTTTTGCCTACCTACAGGGGCACGTGATGCTGGTTGCCTACGTTGGGCGTTTAGGGAATCTCACAGGGGCGAGGGTATCGCCCCTTCTCCCCCCCCCCCTCCCCCCGAACCACGCCTTAGACTGATGGTACGGGAAGCGGTAGCGAGGAAAAAGAAACAAGCGTCTAGGAATCGAACCCGGTGGACGACGCTCTTGCCGACTAAGCCACCGGTCGGTCACGACGTCACCGACCGACCCATTGTGCGATCACTTTTATGCCCGTGACGCTAGTTGAGTTCTGGACTCCAAAGCGAGTAACTTGAATTCTTTTGCCTGAAATAATGTTGCTCCCTCTTGCCGAAACTTGGGGAGGTGCACTGTCCCTCCCCCTTCCCGTTGAAAATGAGTGCGTGTGGAGTCAGGGATGGAGCTGATGCCGACCGCGTCGCGAGGCGCCTGGTCCGCCGTCAGCCACGTCGTCTTCACGGTGGGGCTGGTGGTGCTGGGCTGCGTGGCCTGGCTGCTGCCCAGCTGGAGGCTGCTGCTGCGCGTCATCTACGGCTCGGGGCTGCTGTGCCTGGCCGCCCTGTGGTGAGTGTCGGCCCGGAGGGCCCGACGCACAGTGGGCCAGAAGACCGGTGGAGGCGGCCAAAACTCCAGAGCACTGGTAAAACAAAGGCATAAAAATTATGCCCTTTGGGGCGTAAATACTCTTTTACGCCCTTCCCAAGGGCATAAATCGTTTTATGCCCTTGGGAAGGGCGCAAATGGTATAGGAATTTCAAGCAAAATTTTAATGCCCTTCCCAAAGGCATTAACGATTTATGCCCTTTAAGGGCATTTTAATGCCTTTGTTTCACCAGTGAGCTCGCGTGTTGCTGAACAGGACTCGAACCGAGCGTGCGACTCCACCAATGGATTGCTCTCCAAACGAGGAATCCATTGGTGTGGTGGGGTCACACGTTCGGTTCGAGTCCTGTTCAGCTACACCCGAGCTCAAAGCGCGTCTGGAACTTTGGCCGCCTCCACCGGTCTTCTGGCCCGCAGTGCGACGGCATGCCTGGCGTAGCCTGGCGTCTGAGCGCCACGGCCGGCGGCTTCAGCGCCTGTGAAAGGCGGGATAGGCAGACCCGCTCCGCGTGCGTGCGCAACGGGCGGGCCCGCCTCGCAGGCGCTCCGGCCGACCAGATAGTCGATCGCCCGGCCAGACTGATCGCCATGGCGAGCGAGCCCTCCGCGTCGGCCAACTTATCTTATCTCGCACTATCTGCGCCTAGGTTCGCGCCCGAGTCGGTGCGCTGGCTGGCCGCCAAGGGACGCACGGCGGACGCCTTCAAGATCATCGACAAGGCGGCCAGGATGAACGGGCTGCCGCGGCCCGACTTCACCGCCATCGTCTCGCGTCGCGACAAAGCCGCCAAGCAGGCCAAGCAGGGCGAGGTTGGACACAGTCCCGCGCGCTCACTCACTTTCACGCCCCATGTCCCTGAGTCTCCCGAGGGCCGTAATAGGTTTTCTCGCTGGGAAGACGGGATGGGGGAAGCAGGAACCTGGGGGAACCACAACCCCTCCACAGTGCGCCAGAAGACCGGCGCAGGCGGCCTAAACTCTAGACGCGTTTTGAGCTCTAGAGTAGCTAACCAGCACTCGAACCGAACTTGTGACCCCACCATTGGATTCGTCGTTCGAAGAGCAATCCATTGATGGGGTCACACGTTCGGTTCGAGTCCTGTTGAGCGACTCTGCAGCTCAAAACGCGTCTAGAGTTTTGTCCGCCGTCACCGGTCTTCTGGCCCACTGTACCCTCATGCACTCTGTCCCTCCCCAGGCGACGCTGCCCGCGGCCCCGGCCACGGCCTCGGCGGCGCACCGGCCCAGCTTCGCCCAGGACATGAGCGAGTTCGCCCACTCCCGCGTGCTCGTGCTACGCCTGGTGGCGTGCTGCGCCTGCTGGTAAGACGCGGGGCGCGAGCGGCATGCCCTGCATGGGCGCGGCGAGACCCGACGCACTGACACCCTGCCCTGCCCTGCCTCCAGGGCGATGATCATGTTCGTGTACGACGGGCTGGCCGTGTACTCGGTCTCGCTGGCGGGCAACCGCTACCTCAACTTCATCCTGGTGGAGCTGGCCGAGGCGCCGGCGGCCCTCCTCACCTGGAAGCTCATGTCCGCGGCCGGGCGGCGCGCCACGCTCATCTGGTCGCTGGTGCCCGCGGCGGCGTGCTGCGTCGCGTACCACTTCCTGCCCGCGGCCGCGGCCGACGGTGAGGTTGGAGTATGGCCTGCAGACTGATTTCGAGAGTCGTTTCCATCGCTGTGTCTCCCTCGCCGCACCTATACGGGGCGCCCCAAAAGAGCGAGAGAAACAGAGCGACGAAAACGACGCTCGGAAACAGTGTGCGGGAGTCGAAGGGGCTCTCAAGATGCAGTTAGCGCCATGTCCTCCTCCCCAGACGTGTCCTGGCCCCGGACGGCGGCCGTGGTGCTGGCCAAGCTGTGCGTCACCGTGGCCTTCACCACCACCTACGTGCTGGCGGCCGAGCTGTTCCCCACCAGGGTGCGCCACACCCTGTACGCCGCGGGCGCCACCTGCGGCCGCTTCGGCGCGTCCCTGTCTCCGCAGGCGAGTCCCCGAAGCTCTCGCCTCACGGCCTGCACACTCATTCCGAGAGTCGTTTTCGTCGCTCTGTCTCTCTCGCGTTTATACGAGGCGCCCCACGAGTGCGAGAGAGGCAAAGCGAGGAAAACGGCTCTCGGAATCAGTCTCCTGACGCCGCCCTTGCGCTGCAGATGCCGCTGCTCGCCGCCGTCATGGAGTCCCTGCCGCTGCTCGTGTTCGGCGCCGCTTGCTTCTGCACGGCCCTGGTCGCGCTCGCCTTCCCCGAGACGGCCAACGCCGCCCTGCCGGACACCGTGGAGGAGGCGGAGGTCATGGGGAAGAAGAACTGCACGCCGACATGCCCGCCGTAGTCAAGAGAGAGGCAAAGATACTAATCTGCGATATAATCGTTGTTTTAATAAAGATTTTTAAGAAAATTAAAATCATAAAAGCCATTACAATTTGAAGAACTTCATTTTTTTTAAACCTAGGCTGAAAACAAATCATTTTACCCCTTTGCAGCAAACTATCACAAATTTCTATCACAACAGAAATCAATGTACGCACAGCATATACTATAAAGCACATTTAAAACATGCCTAAGTCACCCTCAAAAAGTGCCTAGAAAATTAGTTCTCTATTATTTCATTAGATTTAGTTTATCAATTTATTTTTTATGTTTTTGCTTATTATTTATATTATTTTTGTGTATTTATCTACTCCAATGGGTGGGCAGGTTCATAACTGCAGACCCTGCACGCGCCAGTTGGCGTAAATTTACGTTTCAAATTTATTTTACATTTTGATTACTCCCCCGGTTCGTCCTTGAAGCCCTCACCTCCCTCGCCCACAGAGCCGCTCTACAGGGGGGTGTTGGCTGCGCAGATGCTGCACGAGACCTTGATGCCATTGTGGATGAGGCTGCTGATGAGGCCCAGCTGCTTGGCGCACTCCTCTGGCGTGTGCTCGGCGCTGTTGTAGCGCGACAGCACCAGGGTGCGCAGGTTCGGCGTCTTGGCCACCATGGCCCTCACCCTCGTGTGGATGCCGAGCGACGACACCTCGATGCGCATCACGATGTTGCTGAGCGACGAGGCGTACGCCTCCCACAGGTCGAACTGCACGTTGGTGGGCAGCTTGACGAACAGGGAGCGGAGCACGCAGCCCGGCTGGGCTGACATGCCGACGGACACCTTGCCGACGTAGTTCAGTAGCTTCAGGTCCGTGAGCATCCTCATTGAGCCCAGCATGTGGAGGTGGCTCTGGTGCACCTGAGGGCGACAGAACGACAAAATAGTTAAAAAGTGTGAACGTCGAACTTGAAAGGAAACTCGTGGCGGCCGCTTACCTGGCGCAGTTCAAGCTTCTCGATGTACGGGGCGTGCTTCACGATCACGTTCGTGTAGAAGTCAGGATCTTCGTTGCACTTGTGGGCGATGAGATGCGTCACCTGTCCAAACACAGACCACATGTAAACCCGAACGGCGGGAGGCGGATGCACAGTGGGCCAGGAGACCAGTGGACGCGGCCAAAACTCAAGGCGCGTGTTGAGCTTCAGAGTCCCTCAGCAGGACTCGAACCGAGCGTGTGACCCCGCCGATGGATTCCTCGTTCGGAGATCAATCCATTGGTGGGGTTCAAGTCCCGCATTTAGCGTCTCTGGAACTCAAAATGAGTTTCGACCACCTCCACTGGTCTTCTGGCCCACTGTGGGATGGGCTTGGACTCTCCTCATGCAAGTGTCTGAAAAGGACCGATAGACACTGACCAGCTTGGTGCTCTTTAAGATGGCGGCCTTGTCCTGCGGCCCGAGCGGGGCGCCCCCCACGCCACTGGGGCTCAGGTCCAGCACGCCGTCGTCCGTGATGGTCCATGCGGGTGCGGGCTGTGCAGGCTGCCGGCCGCGAGGGCCCTGCTGGCCCTGGCCCTGCTGGCCCTGCTGGCCCTGCACGTTGACAGCTGGACTGGGGCCCTTCGGCTTCGGCGCCTTGTCGCCCGTCAGCTTGAGGTCTTTGACCGCCCGGCTGAGGTGGTTCTGACCCTGCTGGAGTAGAGACATTAAATCGCAACGAGGCTACCCAGACTTTGTTGAGAGACCTCAATGAATTGCCCACCTCCTGCTTCTGCATGTAGCCCTCCTTGCAGAGGAGGAACATGAGGAACTGCGCCACCGACAGCACCTCGGGCTTCACGGTGGACCCGCTGCCCATGTCCAGGTTGGCGGCCCAGATTTCGCCGCCGTCCTGCACCTCGAAGCGAACCGACCCCTTGTCCAGCTCCATGAACTTGGCGCCTCGCTGCAGGGGCGGCAGCCTCAGCGAGCACTCGCCTGCGTCTCGCATGGCGCCCTCTTGGTCGGCCCCGGCTGGCAACAGGAAAGGGTAGGTCAGACCCACAACACGGCGGCCGACGGCTGACCCGGCGAAACGAACCAGCCCCATGCCGGCCCGACGACGCAGGCCAGCTTTCACCATCTACGGACAGCCCCTGATACGTACGGCCCGCCCTGCCGTTGATAAAGGCACTGAGGCGCTGCGTCAGCTGGTTGGCCTTGCTCTGGGACACCAAGGTCTCCTGCAGCTGCTCCTCCGCGATGTCCTTCATCTGCAGCACTTTGGGGACCACCTTCTCCAGGACGGCGGACCAGGCGTCGACCGCCTTGCGGGAGCTTTCCGTCTGGAACAGTCACCAAGTCAGGCCCGTGCCATTCTTGTTTTGGTTATGACAGTCTGGAAAGGAAAAAGGGCCTGGAGAGACAATCCGCCCCACCCGCTCCCCATCCGCCCAGCAGGACAACGCAGGAAGGCAAAAAGTGTAGCAGCAGTCCGTCTACCGGGAAATTCGTGGAATTTTGCGTTTTTCTGATAGGAACATCTAAAGATGCTGAGCTGGGCTTGGGGCTCGGGCACAAAACACATCACCCACACGGCACGCACTCACCTGTAGCGCACGGTGAGCCCAAAGGCCTCTGAGCGAGTGTCCATTTTTCTCGCACTCCCAATCAGCTACTTTGTTGCACCTATCACAGTGAAATTGGCTGCAACAAGGAAGTTTCCTAGTTATGGTAAAACCTCACGGATAAAACTGCTCAGGCAGCTCAGCCAAAAGACTTACTTAGCAACACCAGAAGCCTCTTGGAGGATGGTGTAGTTAGTCGTAAGATCCACCGGTTCGACAAGGATCAGCTGCAAATTCCAATGACTCTATGACATTTCCACCTAACTCTTGATGGGAAATCATGCTGGAAGGGCGATACTCACTACGGCACACTCCGGACATTTGAGGGGCCTGTTCATCTGCCGTTGAGTGAGTTTGGTCCGGTTCAAGCATTCCAGACATTTAACGTGACCGCACGACAAGTTTTTTGGAATCCGCACTGTGTCATCGTAGCGATTGTAACAGAGGCCACACTCGCTGCTGGAATTCATCGTGCAGAAGAAATGCTGCAGCGAACACGAGAAGCTTACTGCGCCTACGAACTACCGACCGGTGCTACTGACCTTCGACTGCTACGGGCCTGCGCCGACGCCGTCGGCTGTCAGAAGCGCTTGCGAAGCAAAACAGAGGGGAATACACCGGGAATATATCGCCTACTCCGGCCGCTAGGAGGCGCCACCAACGCCAGATTCGTCATGGCTGGCACACGCAGGCACTATCACGTCTGCTCAACTCTCTAGCCCAAACCAGGTTTTACTCTTTCTATGAGGTTTTAGGTGTTTGAGGACTGGCACAAGGAGGAATAGACTATCCAACTAGTGTCTGTCAAAGGCTGCTTGGCTTAAATTTGAGGCCTTCATTAATTCTACGGTTGGCAACATTTCTCCAGGTGAGGGGAGGGGGGGCAGACCAGTCCTCTTCAAAACCCTTGAGAGGCAAAATTAAAACCGACTTTGTTGTTTTTTTAATTTTATTTTATTAAAACAATACATTGCTTAAAAAATTACCTAGGTGTAGATTATTGGTACAATAGTACAAAGCAGACCTCATACATAAAACAAATATGAGATTAATTGAACTATGATGCATGTCAAGTTCCAAGAGCAAGCGAGAACACTGAAAACATAAACAGCAAGCAAGAAAGAGAATAAAGTAAAAAATAAACAGGTTCTCAGGTAAAATTTGATTAAAAAAAAAAGACAAAGGGTTTGTAGTTTTATCACAGAAAGCTATCTAACACACATTCACAAGTGCTGGTAATAGAGTAGTTTTGTACAGAAATTAATTTACTGAAAAATTCATCCAAACCAAACAAGATTATATGGAAGACACAATGCAACTTTGATTTCATTCAGCACATAGAAAAATGACAATAAATTAGAAGCAGACTACACATGTCTGAAAACAATTGAATGAATAAGACCATCACGTATAGAATCCATGGGATTGCCGACATTGAACTTAAATAAAACACCATCACAGAGAGCAGTCTCAGCATAGACCCCAGCTGGATAAGACCCCCCTTTGTTGAGAACAACACCTACCCGATACACTTTATTGCGCTGTATAAAAATGTGTCTGTTAAAAGAAATTTCCACAAAAGTGCCGTATGCAACTCGAGATGTGTAATGTGTGTATGTTAGTCGGGATCCATTTGAGTCCAAGAGATGAGCATATAGCAACTCATTGTAGCTTGACTTTTCTGCTCGTGTGTAACAACCATCAACAGGTTCACATTGAGTAGGAACCTGAGCAAACAAGAAATAATAAAAGTATGTAAAATGTTAGAAAGTAGCAAGATTAATTTCAAACTGGGTAAGAATTCAAATTCCTCCACCAATTTCAAAAAACAAATTTATGTACCAAAATATAATTTTTTCATAAATTCTTAACAATTGTACCACAGAGAAAAATTTAAGCACACAAACCTGAGCTCCCAAAATGCAAATGTCTCGATCTACTGTAAATGTCACTGTGCTGTCCAAAATTGTACTGTGATGGATAGGCGGAGGTTGTTGAACAGGCAGGGGACTGCGAATACAATACATTTTTGGTAAAGCAACCTGTGGAGAAAAAAAAGTTGACATTCAGTTTAAACAGTAAAATTTGTATTGGAGAAATCACCTAGAATGGTGGTACAGTACACCATACTCACATGAGAGGAGGTACTGGCACCAAATAGTGTTCCGCCTCGAAACGGTTCCTGATCAGGTTCAGGTTCTGGCATAGGTAATTTTTTACGCGAAATTCGTGAAGATGTGAAACCATCTGGTAGCGACAGAGCTAGTGTTGGACTCGAAATGTTCATGAGGATAGCAAAAGCCTCATCCTGCGAAAGGAGCTGCGACACAGCAGGGCGTTCCGCGAACTGTGATGGTGATAGGGTTAAAAAACGTATTTTCCCAACAGTTCCATGAAGTACAGACCGCAAAGATTTTCCATCTGATGCAGATAGACCTAAAAAAGAAACACAAAAAACATAATTTGTGAAATGACTATGTTATTAAGAACTGAAGGAAAACTGCATTGCATACCCTTTCGAGCACATTCTCTGACAGCCCATCTTTGAAGGGCATCAAAGAGTTCCAGCTCTGAATCAATGTTTAATTCATCTTGGTCCAGCACAGCCTGAACTGTGGTTATTTCAACTTCCTCAAATGAAGGCTCTGCTAATACCTCTTTTGTTTGATTGCTTATTACCTAATCAGTCAAATACCACAGATTAAGACTTAAGTGGAAAGAAGGCACAGCAAAAATGAGGCAAATGGAAACCACATACCTCCAATGATTTTTCCATAAGTTCTGGCTCTTCAAAAAGTTTTGCAAACTCAAAAGCTCTGCATGCATTATTAGGACAGATATCTTTCCAAATGTACTTTGTACACTCACGAACAAGATGAGGAAGCATGTACTTTTTGGCTACATAGCAAAGCTCACATGCTTGATCAAATGAACGGAGGCTAATTTTGTCAGAATAAATATACCTGTGCAACAGAGATTTTTGATTAAATGGAGGATTTTGAGTCTGTCAGAAGAAACACACCGCAACTCCGTGTTTCAAGATAAGATATAATTATTTTAATATTTACTCCAACAATGCCTTGAACCCTTCTGGCTGAACATCAAAAATGTGAATAGGACCATCTTTTTCAGCCATACCACCAAAAAACATTGCTTCAAACACTGGGCTTGACATGGCTAAAAAAACTTTGTGGCCTTCAATAGCCTGCAAATAATGAAAAATAAGAAATTACGACAAAGAAGTTGAAAAAAAAGGTGAATATAAAGTGCAGTACTTACTTGTTGGTGCGGCTCGGTTCCAACAATGAACTTGCAATCACTCCATTGTCCTGTTTCCAAAAGATGCTGACCACGTTCACAAAGAGTGGTTTTAGTAACTTGCCAGTCATATGGGGGAGGGTAGGTATCATGGCAATTGCTTGGCGTGCTGGGCCCAGCACGTGAAGTGGTGGGTTGTCCATTGTTACTTATAGGAGGGTTACTAGTATGGCTTGTTGAATGGTGAGCATCATCACTTGCCATTACTGTAAATGTTTGAAGTGATGGCTGCAATGGTTCACCAGCCACCCACGACCACGAGTCCACGTTCCGCTCTTCTGGCTGAAAAATAATTATTTAAAACTCAAGCATTATGTGTAGCTTTGTTGATTTGCCCTAATTCTTACGTAAATCTAAACAATGCAAGAAAGACTTTGAACTAGTCACCATTGAAAGGGCATATGACGCAGTGCTAGATTAGATGAAGATGCTACACTTAGATTGCTGACGATGTTTACATAATAAAAATAAAATATTGGATTTTTTTTTTCAGTCTGTTATTATTGAAGCAATGATGAACAAAACGCATCTTTTTGTTTTGTTTTTCTACATCAGGGACAAGCCTCTGGGAAGTCATCAAGTGAAGCTACCAATGTACTAGTTGACAAAGGCAAAGAAACTTTAAGGCAGGATCGAAGAAAGACGAATTGGATACATTTAGACACAAAACGAAAGATAAAAGGCAAAAATAAACCTACTTCGGTCCTTATTCTTTTCATAACCTGTGCTTCTGCTTAACGTAGGCTTCGTCTGCTACAGAAAAGACAACAACATTTTACAGGCCTTCTAGAAAATTCCTCTTTGAAGGCTCTGCCTTCTCCGAACAAAACGTTTTCTAACCTTAAAATTCCGGTGGGGTAGCTCTGTTGTTGTGTACACACGTGTGACTCGCGTGCGGTCGTAAAGTTTGATTATTATTAAATTCGCTTGGAGATAGAGCAAAATGGGAAAGAAGTCAATCAGTGAGGCCGACAACTCTGTTGTCTCAGAAGGGGAAAAAGAAAATGGTCTTAGCTATGAAGAGAAGTTGAACTTCTCAAATGCGATAGCCAAACCAATGGCCTCAAAGAAGTTGTGTAAGAAGCTGTACAAAGTTATCAAGAAAGGTAAGTCTTGATAGCTCAACAACTGAGCATTAATCGTTTATTTAAATCGTATTAGAGCCGATTGATTTAAAAAGATGAACATCACCTCACCTCCCTGTCATATTGAATCTGATGCAGACATGCATCTCTCTTTTAGGCTTTGTTTTACTGCTCTTTCTTTAGATCTATCATGTTTAAGGTGCGAGGCATTCTGATGCCTTTTCATCTTCTTATCTAACTGTTTATCTTAATGCGTTGCAGCCTCAAAACACAAAACCTACCTCAGGAATGGCCTCAAAGATGTTCAAGCAAGAATTCGTAAAGGAGAAACTGGGTATGTGTTTCTCTTCATTCCTTAAGTGGCATGCTCTTCTTTAAGTTTCAGCTAGCTATATATTTGAAGGCGCATTCATGATCGTGTACCTCTCATATTCATTTGCAGTTGTAGGAATGGAATCTAAGGCACTGAATCTAAATCGGTGTGAATGCACCTTTTTGCCTTCTTTAATTTGGAGTATTGAACTTTGTGCATTTTCTCTTGATTTGCAGGCTGGTTGTCTTTGCCGGAGATGTTTCACCCATAGAAATTATGTGCCACATGCCCGCAGTCTGTGAAGACAAGGATATTCCCTACTGCTATACCCCAGCTCGTGCTGATCTTGGTGCTGCTATGGGAGTGAATAGAGCTTCAGTTATGATCCTAGTTCGTCCTCATGATGATTATAAAGAGCTTTATGATGAGTGTGCAGAGGAAATGAAGCATCTTCCTCATCCTCTTTAGTTTAATGTTATTATATGCTAGTTTTAAGGTGTGGCAATTAAAGCTGTTTTTCCATGGATGAGTCTTCTGGAGTTTAATTAGATTTAATTCTGTAGTGTGGTTCATTGTGCACTGCACAGTGTATTGGATAAAGGAAAATTAATTTATAACAAGGAATTTTTTTCAACAATTTTATTTTGTATCAATTATTATAATTTTGACTATTGGGTTGGAGTACCTGAAATAAAAGGTAAAAAATTAACAATGTTTTTTTCATTTGATCCTATTGTTTTATTGTGAGGAGGAAGTCCACCCAAGCATCCATGGATGCAGTAGTAACATCTCATGCATGAAGCCAAGCCACAAGATGATGCTACTGAGTCCCCCTCTTTCTTCCTCCCCACAATTCCTACCTAAGTTACATCAAGACATTCTACCTTGATGACAAACAAAATTGCCTACGTTAAAAATGCAAAATGACACACCAGGATGTACTAGTAGATCTAATGGATTATTGGTTTATCATATTGTAGTCAAATAAGTAGAGCCTCAAAGGCAATAATAGGCCCTCATTATTTCACAAACTTATAGGAATGTTAACGCATCGATTAGTTACGTAATCCAAAAGGCAATGCATCAGCACACCAAACTCTCAACTTAGTTTACTCCAACAACCTTTAGTCTCCTTAAATTTCACACACCAAACATGTCAAACCTCTCTAAAAAATTGAAATAAAATGTCTCCCACTGCATTGCCAGATCATGAGAAAGAAGTCATCTCTTTCACTCAGGAACCGCAGGATGGGAAAGGTCAGGTGGGGTGAAGGAAGGTCTCAAGTTCTCAGAAGAAACTGAGGGCATTGAGGACTTTGAGATAACCAGCAGACTTATAATCAAATTCACGCCATGTCCCCAAACAATGCAAGAATTGAATGGGAATAAGGCTTGGTTCTGCAACATGGTTTCTCCATAGAGGTAATGAGAGGACACTGATGGGTAAAGGATAAGACCAGCTTTCTGATTGAAAGGCAATACTATAGGTTTTGTTTCAATTTTCTAGGCAACATTCCAGGAAAAAAGGGAAACCACCAAAGCCTATACAATAGCAACGAATCCCCATAGCCACACACAAAGCCTAGAACCAACGGAAATGGAGACAAAAATCTCAGTTTATTAATCCAAACGCAATGCATCAGCACAAAAGACTCTTCTTATCCTATTTTACTCCAACTACCCTTATTTCTCCTTAAATTTCTCACACCAGACATGTCGAACCTCTCTAAAAAGTTGAAATAAAATGTCTCCCACTGCATTGCCAGATCATAAGAAAGACGTCATCTCTGAAGATTTCACTCAGGAACCTCAGGACGGGAAGGTCAAGAGGGGGTGTGAAGGAAAGTCTCAAATTCTCAAAAGAAACTGAGGGCCTTGAGGATACTTTTGGAGATACCAGCAGACTTAAAATCAAATTCACACCATGCCCCCAAACAATGCAATAATTGAATGGCAACACGGCTCGGTTCTGCAACATGGTTTCTCCGTGAAGGTAATGGGGGGACACTGATGGGTGAAGGATGAGACCAGCTTTCTGATTGAAAGGCAATACTATAGGTTTTGTTTCAATTTTCTAGGCAACATTCAAGGAAAAGAGGGAAACCAAAGCCAGTAACATAGCAATGAATCCTCATAGCCACACACAAAGCCTATAGAACCAACGGAAAGGGAGACAAAACTATTGTACCAAGTATCAGACGTAGAACTTTGCTATAATGCACCAGCAACAAACCAGGTCAACAAAATAAAACAGCAGCTGAGTTCATTTCATATGGAGTGGCTAAATATACGAACGAGGAAAAGAAAATTGATTCCCCAGCAATTTTATTGCACATGGTTGTAATTTCTCTTTCTATTTTGTCTATTTTCTATTTTGTCAGAGTCCTTATGAAACATCATGAACATCAATCAAGTTGCCTGAACTAGGTAGAGGCCCATGGTTAAGACAACTATACATTTTATGAATTGAAAAATTTTTGGAGTTAGCTCATAAAATTTTGGTTATACCACCACCAAGCTGAGATTGCCAGGTTTTGAGTCTTAAAAGCAGAGAAAATTGTACCAAATTTAAAAATTCTTCGTGAAAAGCAATTTTTTGTTTCAAGTAAAATATGCTTTACTCAAAGAAAAACAAAAAACACCACAAAACTATCTGAAAACAAGCCAATGCACTGATAATTGCAACACCAAGAATTACATTTGTTCAGAGTTTTGTGCACAAGAAGGAAAACATTTGAGCGCCAGGGGTTCAGTATGGAGCACAAGCTGATTTTCTAAAGAAAGGCTGGTTTATAATTGTTTGGACAGTGCATTCGAGGGATAAATTGCTAAAGAACTTAGAAGCCAACAAAACAAATAGAACAAAAATCTGGAAATACAGAAAAACAAACAAAGCAAATGGGAATATTAAACCATGACACCTGGCCAATTATCTAGAAACAAAACAAAAAAAATGTGAAGAAAAAGCTGTATGTACCAAAATTTAATCCAATTTTACTGAAATGTTAAGGAAAACAAGGCAGAAATAAATAAAAGAGATGTCAGAAACTTGAGGGACCATTCCTGAGAGAAAGAAACAGCAACAATTGCTATACTGGATGAGTTTAACACATCCACATACTGCACAACTAGTTTTCTTTACACCACTCATCACCTCACACGCTACCAGATCCTCGATTCTCTACATGTGAAAGCCTGTTTACAAGAAGCTTGATGAATCTAGCTGCATAGGCATAACATCCATTTTTTTAAAGCCAGCAGCCCAAAGTGAGTATTCTTGGGACAAAAGAGAAGAGTATGGAGAAATGCAATCCAATAACAACCCAGTTATTGCATACAGAAGATGACTTTCCACCCGCTATGCAAGAACCTTGAGATAGAACAGTCTCGCCAAACACACCTTACTTCCCGACTATCACAAACATGGACTAATAAGAGTTGAAGTCTCCTACTCATGATTTTTTTTTCCAGTCAGAGTAGTTACTAAGCACTTTATAAGCAGGTCTCAACATACAAAACCGAAATATGCACCAAAAATATAAAAAATATTCTGAATAAACCATAAAATACATTAAAATTTCTTTACGAAGGGGAAAAAAAATTTTAGTATGAAAATTTGAATACAAGTTGTAGCTTGCTGGATGTGAAAGCTGAAAGAAGCAGTCCAAAGAGGGTGTTCGAACAGTCACTGCATATTTTGCATTCATGTCTTTGCAACTATGTGCAACAAAATAAAGTGTTGTGTGATTTGCAAATTACTTCAAGCGGCAAGTCCCCCAAAACGTCATTGGGTGCATTTTATACCCACATCCCATCCCAACACACATTGCTGCATGCTCAAGAATTTCAGTAAAAAAAAAAAAATCATTTGAGCGGGACAGATATATTGTTTCATGACCTAATCAATAATTCTAGTATTCCACAGAATGCAAGATACAATTCCACATAATGCAATTAGATCATGCTTTCACAGAAACATAAGTGAGAACAGCAAGCAGTAATTCATTATAAGTAAGTAAGCTAATCAATAGCACCTAGCAGCTCCCACAAATGCATAAAACATTTCCAGCAATCACCAACAATAACTAAGGCCTACACACAACTGAATCATGCCTTTTACTCAAAGACTCAAAGCAGGGCTAAAAAAATAAATTAACACAAACACACTCAAGTTGACGGAAATATCACACTATAAAGTATGGTCTCCTGAGACTCATCAAATAAAGGCCATTTTCAGAAATAAACTAATAAGCTTATCAAAAAGAAACCTTCAAACTTTTCACAATCTCAGCAGCCATGCGGAGACACTTGATCTGCATAGGTCATACCATTCATACTCATACCCCTGACACAGACTATGTGACACTTTGAAGAAAATATTGCAGCGAACAAACCTTGAGCAACCAGTGCAATCTCAAAACGTTATAAATTCATTTGTCGATTTTCTTAAGTTCTCCAAGGATATCAGGAATTCTACACCTTCCACAACATTCAACCCTGAAATTTGAGCAACAACCTCCACACATCAAATCTCCCGAAAAGCTTATTCACAAACTCTGAAAGTAAATTGTTTTGTTTTGTTTTTAAAATTTAAGTGTGATTATTTAGCAGTCATTTCAAGTTCGGATGAAATTTTATACATTCCTTAACACAAATACCCATCTACTACCCTCAAGTGAATACTTTGAAAAAGTCACTTTCAAATGCAAATCTTTGGAAATGTTTAGGGTCAATCATGGTGTAGTCATAAAACATTCGTTAAGTCAGAGAAGAGTGAGCAGTAAATTCATTAAAAATGAGTAAGCTACTCGATAGCAACTCGCAACCCTCAAAAAGGCAAAAAATATTTCCAGCAATCACTGACAGTAACAAAAACCTTCACCCAACTGAATATAGCCTTCCATTCGAAGAAGTATCAAAACAGAGTCTAAACACCAGTAGGGCTAACAAAAATTTCTTCATCACAAACCTAAACCAAATGGATCAAATATCACACTAAATAGAAATTCACACATATTATCACACGCTATGTTAGACCTTGAAGAAAATATTGCAGCAAACAAACCTTGAGCAACGAGTGCAATCTCCAAACATAATAAATTCATTTGTCAATAGTCACTATACACGTGTCACATTTCTCGAGTCAAATCACGTCACTCCACAACATACAATCCTCATTTTCAGGAATAAGCTGCCAAGCTTACCACAAAACAATACTCACAACGTTTTTCCAATCTGGGAATCACAAATGTAGCTGTCACCCTTGTGTTATATAACCTGCATTGTTGTTCCACTCATACCACTGACACAAACAAGACCCAGAGCAAATTAGTGCAACAAACAACACTCAAACAACCTGTCAATAAGTGGGCTTTCATCAAACTTTTTTTTTTACACACGAAACACTTTTTTCAAGTCATTATTGGAAATCATGAATGTCACTCCACAACATACAACCCTCATTTTCAGGAATAAGCTACCAAGCTTGCCACAAAACCATACTCGCAAATTTTTTGCAATCTAGGAATTACAGATGTGGCTGTCGCCCTCGTGTTCTATTAACCTGAATTGTTGTTCTACTCATACCACTGACACAAACAAGACCCAGGAAAAAATTATTGCAACAATCCACCCTCAAACAACCTGTCAATAAGTGGACTTTCATCAACTTGTTTATACACTAGTCACTTTTTTTTGAGTCATTATTGG